AGCAGAGCTTGAAGTGGAGATGGGAGTCCTTCACGAAATCCACAAGCTCCTAGTTTTAACCAAATTATGCCACCATACTTTTAAGAAAATAGTAGCTAAGGAGGTTGTAACAAAAAGTATGGAGGCTGAGTCCCCTTTTGTCCCCACAATTCCCAGTAGTAACTTGACCGAAAATGGCAAACCAGTACGTTTCCGAGCACAATTCAAAGTATTGGTGCTGACCTTTAAAGCCCTAAACGGCCTCAGTCCTGTATACCTGAAGGAGCGTCTCCACCCCCATCGTTCAGCCCAGACACTGAGATCCAGCGCCGAAGGCCTTCTGGCGGTTCCCTCATTGTGAGAAGTGAGGTTACAGGGAACCAGACAGAGGGCCTTCTCGGTAGTGGTGCCCACCCTGTGGAACGCCCTCCCTTCAGATGTGAAGGAAATAAGCAGCTATCTTCTCTTTAAAAGACATCTGAAGGCAGCCCTGTTCAGGGAAGTTCTTAATATTTAACGCTGTACTGTTTTTAACACTTGATTGGGAGCCGCCCAGAGTGGCTGGGGAAACTCAGCCAGATGGGCGGGGTATAAATAATAAATTATTATTAATGTTGCACTATTTTAGTGTTGTTAGCCGCCCTGAGCCCGGCTTCGGCTGGGGAGGGCGGGATATAAATAAAATTTATTATTATTATTATTATTATTATTATTATTAACCAGAATCCCCCAGCAAGTTCATGAGGAGGGAATGGCAAAGAGCTTTCCCTTGTTGTTTCTGCCCCAAAGCCTCTGCTACTTATTAGAAGAGGCATTGAAATAACACAGTCCAGAGAGAAAATAAACTAATAATACTTTACTGCGGGACACTGAATAAAAACAGCACACCATATGAGGAAAAACAATACAGGAGGGTTTCGTCTCATTTACAGGCCTTGTTCTTGGCTTCCTCATAACTCCTGATGTAGCCACTCAGAGCTCGAGTTATCTCAGCAAGGATCATGCCATGCTGCCTGGTTGCTAGGCAACACTCCGCCACCACCCCTTGGATGGCTAGTTACAAACAGAATTAACCCTGGGGTTCCTAGGCGAATGATCCCTGCTTTTGTACTTCCAACTCTACGGGCAGTGGCGTAGCGTGGGGGGTGCAGGGGGGCCGGCCACACCGGGCGCAACATCTGGGGGGGCGCGCTCGCACTCGCAGCTCTCTGCCCCTACCTGGCTCACTCACTCTCTCTCACTGCAGTGCTGGCTGTGCGAATCCGATCCGAGCCGCTGGGTCGCCGCCCACGGGGGAGGGGGGGGGTGCCAGGCGTGCGGTGCAGAGAGAGAGCGAGGGACTATCTGGGGGAGGGACAGTGCAGCGGCCGCCCAGCGCAGCGCTGAGCGCGGGAGAGAACCACACCAGCCCAGCCCAGGCAGCAGCAAGAAGAAGCTGGCAGCGGCGGCAGGTTAGGGGTTAGGGGGCGCAAATTACTTGCCTTGCCCCGGGTGCTGACAACCCACACTACGCCGCTGTCTACGGGTCGTGAAGGTTGTGTTTGGGGCTGCTTTCCATTTCTTTCTGCACTGCTGACAGTGTTTTATTCTTTGCACCAGTGGTTTTCAACCAGTGTGTCATGGCACCCTGGGGTGCCTTGAATGATGGTTGGGGTGCCACAGGCAACACTGGCCCACGTCCCTTTTCCCTTCCCTTCCTCCTCTCGCGTCTCTGCCTCCCAAAGGCTTGCACAGCTGTTTGTTGTAACAGCCCTGGCTACAAGCTCTGCAGACGAATGTCACCTCTTGGACTGGCCAGGGGTTTTTTCCCAGGCCCCTGTGGGACAGTGGGAGGAGGCACCTCTCTTTGGGGTGGGGTGGGCAGCCGAGAGTCCAGGGGCGGCAGCTGTGGCTGCCCAGAGGACTCCCAAGGAGAGGGGAGAAGAGAGGAGGCTGAGGGAACACTCAGGCAGGGAAAGGGTGACACAACTGGGCTCCTGAGCCCCACAGGGGTGCCGCAAAAAGAATGTAATAGGTCAAGGGAGCAGTGGAACTGAAAAGGTTGGAAACTTCTGCTTTACAGTGGTACCTCGGGTTAAGAACTTAATTCATTCTGGAGGTCTGTTCTTAACCTGAAACTGTTCTTAACCTGAGGCACCACTTTAGCTAATGGGACCTCCTGCTGCCGCGGCGCCGGAGCACGATTTCTGTTCTCATCCTGAAGCAAAGTTCTTAACCCGAGGTACTATTTCTGGGTTAGCGGAGTCTGTAACCTGAAGCATCTGTAACCTGAAGCATACATAACCCGAGGTACCACTGCACGCACTTTTGCTAATGTGCTGCAATTGAGTAACATCAACATGCATGGGCAGGAGAGCTGGTTAATGTTTTAGCAATGTGCATGGCAGATTCATCATTATTTCCTTTGCCAAAGGGTGGAAGTTTACAACAGCCTTTGTGTCTGCAGGTGCTTCTTCACCTGCCATTAAATTGCTTCTCTCCTTATCCTGCACTTCAACCTTTATCTCAAGGTAGGGTGATCTGATAATAAAACTTTATAGCTGGGATCTAGAGAAGCTTCTGTTGACATTGAGGATTGGCGTGTGTGTTGATTTTTCCTTCCCGCACTAACCCTTTTACCCAAAACGAGATGCTGCTCCAAAGAATTACAGATGCTCCAAGTGTCCCTATTTTCCAGGAACAGCACCAAATTTACAGAAGCTGTCCTGGTTTCTGATTTGCTCCTGGAATGTCTCACTTTCCCTTAGTATGATTGAGGGTATTAAGGTCAAAAACTTCTTCTTTTTTTGAGATTTTGCGAAAAAACCTCAGCAACCTTGGACAAAACTAAACGTTGGAGAGAAATGTTGGAGGGTATGGAGTTATCTGACCCCTGAGCCATCTGAAGACAGCCCTGCATACAGAAATTGTATAATGTTTAATGTTTTATTGTGTTTTTATATGTGTTGGAAGCCGCCCAGCATGGCAGGGGCAACCGAGTCAAATGAATGGGGTATAAATAGTAAAAATGTTGTTGTTGTTGTTGTTGTTGTTGTTGTTGATGATGTTGTTATGGAATAGGATGTTCCTGTTTTCATCAGAGAAATGTTGGAGGATATGGAATTATAATGAAATGGCTACAGCCAGTGCTTCACACAGCTATGGGATACTGCCCACCATTCTAACCACTACTCCATGCTGCCTATGGAATAGAGACTGTCTAGCTCAGGGGTCAGCAAACTTTTTCAGCAGGGGGCCGGTCCACTGTCCCTCAGACCTTGTGGGGGGCCAGGCTATATTTTGGAAAAAAATACTGAACGAATTCCTATGCCCCACAAATAACCCAGAGATGCATTTTAAATAAAAAGGCACATTCTACTCATGTAAAAACACACTGATTCCCGGACCGTCTGCGGGCCGGATTTAGAAGGCGATTGGGCCGGATCCGGCCCCCGGGCCTTAGTTTGCCTACCCGTGATCTAGCTGCACCCTTAAACTCCCCTGAGTTTGAAGCAGAATATTCATTTTCTGCATGTGTCTGTGTGACAGAGATTTTCTGTTGCCATTGATTTTCAGGGGTAAGCAACATCTCTCTGCCCAAGGGCCACATTCCTTTCTGGGCAATGTCTCAGGGGCCACAGGCCAGGGATGGGTGCGGCCAGAGGGAAAAGTAGGCAGAGCAATGGAGGCAAGTTTTCCAGGCTCATTTCTATGCACCCTCTCAAGCTTCCCTCTGTATTGTCTACACACTGACTGGCAGCAGCCAGTATTTCAGACAGAGTATTTCAGAGTATTTCTCCAGTATTTCAGACAGAGGTTGTTCCCAGCCCTACCTGGATCTGCGAGAGATTGAGCCTTGCGCCTTCTGCATGCAAAGCAGATGTTCTAAAGAGCTGCCGCCCTTTCCCTGCAAAGCTGGGCATTCGGCCACCTTCAGAGAGTGAGCAGGCCATCGCTCTCCTTCCTGTCTCTTCATCTCATAAGCTCCTGTCTCCCATTCACAGCAGCTTTTTCTTAGGCTTGCTTATCTCCGGCAGAAGGCTCTCATAATATTATTCCGAACACCTAGGATAGCGGCAAAGTTTTCAGATCTTGTGGGTGAATATAACGATAAGCCTTCTCTATTCTCCCCCAATTGCCCAAGCATAACTGCACTAGATAACAGTTTCCACTGTGTATTACACCACTGTAGAGCACAGAGGCAAAGAAGAGAATATTTGTAGCATCAAATCCAACGCATTACTGTTTTGTTCCAGTGGAAGCTGCCTTGCCAAATTGAAATTGCGAAGCTGTCACTCTTCGAACTATACTGCCATCTACTATACTGTGTTTGTTTCATCCTTTGACCTATAATGCCATCTGCTGATAATGAATTATGCAAGGAGGCTTCCAGAATAACAATGTCTGAAACTGGGGGCGTCGGTCATCGCAGGCAGGCAGGCAAAGAAAAAAGGGAACACAACCCACTAGAATTAATCGCTGTATCTTACATGTTGTTTAGGATATCCAGCGAACACTGAACCTTAACTGCACTTAACATTATAAGGTGAAAAACCTGTAACCACAAACAGGATTTTGATAACCAGGCTGAATCATTGTGTTAAGCATTTTGTATAATAGGACATCAATGGAAAGGGCAGGGGAAGCGCTGTTGTGGTGTAATAATCTGGCAATTTATGAACGTAAGAGCCCTGTAGACTCAAGGATCATCTAGTTCGGCATTCTTTTCCTGCATGGCTGTTCATGGGAAGCGCACAAGCAGATTTGAGGGCAGTAGCACTCTCCTGCTTGTGACCCGCTAGCAGTTGGCATTGAAAGGCATAGTGCCTCTGCTATTGGAAGCAATGAAGCTATTATGACTGGTAGCCATTGGTAGGTTTGTCCTCCATGAATTTTCCTAATCCCATTTTAAAGCCATTCACGTTGGTGGCCAATACCTCGCGGGAGCAATTTCTATTGATTAACTATGTCCTCCATGAAAAAGAAGTTCTTCCTTTTGCCTGTACTGAATCTCTCAAAATAAATAAAAAATTAAAACAAATTGTCCAGTAGCACCTTAGAGACCAACTAAGTTTGTTCTGGGTATAAGCCTTTGTGTGCATGCACACTTCTTCAGATACTTTAGTTGGTCTCTAAGGTGCTACTGGACAATTATTTATTTATTTATTTATTTATTTCGGCTGTTTCAGACCAACACAGCTACCTACCTGAATCTTGAATCTCTCAAAATTCACCTTCTTTGGAGTCTACAATGGCTTTCAGGTTAGGAAGCAAAAGGGGAAAGTGTAAGGGAGAGATCTCTCTGAACTCATTCCTGAGACATCGGGATGATGTACATCAATTGGAGCAGAGTTAGGCCCTGTTGCTTTCCATACTTAGGGTTCATTATCTTGAAAACGGGCTTAGATTTGGCAGCCCATCAAATAGATGAAGGCCTGGCCTCTTGTCTAGTTTAACCTCAGTTGGCCTCTGTGTGTTGTATCCAATGTCACACTAAGGACTGCATTCTGTGAATGCAAGGATTCATGTTTGCACAATAGAACCCACCCCCATTACCCCCTGAATCTGTTTGAGGGGTTCCCCCAACCTTCCAGAGCAGATTTGGGGAGGCCACAGAGTGCATATGGAGGGGAGGAAGTTTCATTGCACAAGTGTAAATCCTTTCATAGAATCATAGAATCATAGAATCATAGAGTTGGAAGAGACCACAAGGGCCATCGAGTCCAACCCCCTGCCAAGCAGGAACACCATCAGAGCACTCCTGACATATGGTTGTCAAGCCTCTGCTTAAAGACCTCCAAAGAAGGAGACTCCACCACACTCCTTGGCAGCAAATTCCACTGTCGAACAGCTCTTACTGTCAGGAAGTTCTTCCTAATGTTTAGGTGGAATCTTCTTTCTTGTAGTTTGGATCCATTGCTCCGTGTCCGCTTCTCTGGAGCAGCAGAAAACAACCTTTCTCCCTCCTCTATGTGACATCCTTTTATATATTTGAACATGGCTATCATATCACCCCTTAACCTCCTCTTTCTCCAGGCTAAACATGCCCAGCTCTCTTAGCCGTTCCTCATAAGGCATCGTTTCCAGGCCTTTGACCATTTTGGTTGCCCTCCTCTGGACACGTTCCAGTTTGTCAATGTCCTTCTTGAACTGTGGTGCCCAGAACTGGACACAGTACTCCAGGTGAGGTCTGACCAGAGCAGAATACAGTGGCACTATTACTTCCCTTGATCTAGATGCTATACTCCTATTGATGCAGCCCAGAATTGCATTGGCTTTTTTAGCTGCCGCGTCACACTGTTGGCTCATGTCAAGTTTGTGGTCAACCAAGACTCCTAGATCCTTTTCACATGTACTACTCTCAAGCCAGGTGTCCCCATCTTGTATTTGTGCCTCTCATTTTTTTGCCCAAGTGCAATACTTTACATTTCTCCTGTTAAAATTCATCTTGTTTGTTTTGGCCCAGTTCTCTAATCTGTCAAGGTCGTTTTGAAGTGTGATCCTGTCCTCTGGGGTGTTAGCCACCCTCCCAATTTGGTGTCATCTGCAAATTTGATCAGGATGCTCTTGAGTCCATCATCCAAGTCGTTGATAAAGATGTTGAATAAGACCGGCCCAAGACAGAACCCTGTGGCACCCCACTAGTCACTCTTCTCCAGGATGAAGAGGAACCATTGATGAGCACCCTTTGGGTTCGGTCAGTCAGCCAGTTACAAATCCACTGAGTGGTAGCATAGTCAAGACCGCATTTTACCAGCTTCTTTACAAGAAGACCAAGTGCTTTGGATACCCTCCTGTAATGATGTGTGTGAAAAGAGGACTGAAACTTCAGGTCCTCCAAGCATTAAATCTTAAATGTCCCAGCAAGGATCTTTTGTTGTTGTTGTTTAGTCGTTTAGTCGTGTCCGACTCTTCGTGACCCCATCGACCAGAGCACACCAGGCACTTCTGTCTTCCACTGCCTCCCGCAGTTTGGTCAAACTCATGCTGGTAGCTTTAAAAACACTGTCCAACCATCTCATCCTCTGTCGTCCCCTTCTCCTTGTGCCTTCAATCTTTCCCAACATCAGGGTCTTTTCCAGGGAGTCTTCTCTTCTCATGAGGTGGCCAAAGTATTGGAGCCTCAGCTTCAGGATCTGTCCTTCCAGTGAGCACTCAGGGCTGATTTCCTTCAGAATGGAGAGGTTTGATCTTCTTGCAGTCCATGGGACTCTCAAGAGTCTCCTCCAGCACCATAATTCAAAAGCATCAATTCTTTGGCGATCAGCCTTCTTTATAGTCCAGCTTTCACTTCCATACATCACTACTGGGAAAACCATAGCTTTTACTATATGAACCTTAGCAAGGATCTTTACTGGGTGCCTGTTCATCACTGCTGCTCCAGTTAACATTTCACAGTCTAGATCAGCAGGAAAAAGCAATATTGACTTTCTGGATTTGGCATGTTATCTCCAAACATCAAACTTCTCACTGGCCTGTGATGCCACCTGCTTCCTTGCTGTCATACCGAACACATTTGTGTTCCCTGACAGCATTTGTGTTCCCTGCAATTGAAAGATCAGCAGAGATAATTAAAGGCTGGCAGTGTGCCAGAGTCCTTGAAACAGAGGTGGCAGTGCCACTTTGCCATTTTGAAATGGATGGCAAAGCTCACAGCCGTTCTCACAGGAGAAATGTGCCAGAGTAAACCAGGTATCTGCGCAGCTAAGGTCTAATTGTGTGACTGTTCTAGGTAGGCGAGATTTGTCGCTGCTGGGTTAACGAAATGCACAGCTGCCGGGTTAACGAAAAAGGTCTAGCTTCTTATTGAACTTTTAGCTGAGTGAAGGTGCTGTATCTGACTGGTGCTTAAAATGGGGTAAATGGGCTGTCCCTTATCATTAGGACTGCTAGAACAATAGGGCCATGGGCATTATACAGCTCTACAATCGTTTCACGAGAGCTAAAATGGATTTATTGTGCGTTTGCGGGGAGGGGTAGACTGTATAGTCGTACCTTGGTTCTCACATTTAATCCATTCCGGGAGTCTGTTTGACTCCTGAAATGGTTCAAAAACCAAGGCACAGCTTCCAATTGGCTGCAGGAGGTTCCTGTAGCCAATCGGAAGCTGCGTTGGACGTTCGGCTTCCAAAAAACGTTTGCAAACTGGAACACTCACTTCTGGGTTTGCAACATTTGGGAGCCGATTTGTTTGACAACTAAGGCATTCGACTACCAAGGTATGACTGTATGATTCCTGAGTCCCATCTAATTCCTGGACCCAGCAAGGTTTAAAATCTAATGGAGGATCCCATTGTTGAATTAGCCAGACAAGGGCCATAACGTTCCTAAGTCTGGGTCATTAGTATAAGAAAGGAAGTATAAGAAAGGAAGGTCCCCTCCCTCACTTAGCTGGTAGTGAGGAAAGACAAAGACCAAAGTTGTGTGTGGAAAAGAATTGGGCCAGAAGCAGGCAAGAAGCCTGGGAGTGAGAGACACGCTTGATTTCCGCTTGAATCCAAGGTTCTGGCTGTGGGAGAAACAAGACCTTCTGGGGAACCCCTCCAATGTAGGCTCAGATTGTATATGTGTGTAAATAATAATAATAATAATAATAATAATAATAATAATTTATTTATACCCTGCCCAGCTGGCTGGGTTTCCCCAGCCACTCTGGGCGGCTTCCAACAAAATATTAAAATACAGTGGTCTGTTAAACATTAATAGCTTCCCTAAACAGGGCTGCCTTCAGATGTCTTCTAAAAGTCTAGTAGTTGTTCTTCTCTTTGACATCTGATGGGATGGCACTCCACAGGGCAGGTGCAGGCACCGAGAAGGCCCTCTGCTTGGTTCCCTGTAACTTGGCTTCTCACAGCGAGGGAACCACCAGAAGGCCCTCAGTGTCCGGGCAGAACGATGGGGGTGGAGACGCTCCTTCAGGTATACTGGGCCGAGGCTGTTTAGGGCTTTAAAGGTCAGCACCAACACTTTGAATTGTGCTCGGAAACGTACTGGGAGCCAATGTAGGTCTTTCAAGACCGGTGTTATGTGGTCTCTGCGGCCGCTCCCAGTCACCAGTCTAGCTGTCGCGTTCTGGATTAGTTGTAGTTTCCGGGTCACCTTCAAAGGTAGCCCCATGTAGAGTGCATTGCATATATCCTAAAGACACCACAGTCTCCGCTGTCCCCCATTCCAAGGAAACCAAATCCTGGATACGTACCGTACCTGGAACCTCTGGAATCTTGCACCATTTGGAGATTGGGGTGGCAAACAACAATACTTATTCACTGAACTCATTGGGACTTCTGAATAGTCACAGAATCACAGAATTGTAGAGTTGGAAGGGACCCCAGGGATCATCCTGCATTGCTGGATCACCCTTAGGTCCCTTTCAGAATAATAATAATAATAATAATAATAATAATAATTTATTGTTTATACCCCGTCATCTGGCTGGTTTCCCCCAGCCAATCTGAGCAGCTCCCAACAGAATATATAAAAAAGCAACAAAACAGCAAACATTAAAAACTTCCCTAAATATGGCTGCCTTCAGATGTCTTCTAAAAGTCAGATAGTTGTTTATTTCCTCGGCCCAGTATACCTGAAGGAGCGTCTCCACCCCCATCGTTCTGCCCGGACGCTGAGGTCCAGCGCCGAGGGCCTTCTGGCGGTTCCCTCATTGCGAGAAGCAAAGCTACAGGGAACCAGGCAGAGGGCCTTCTCGCTAGTGCCACCTGCCCTGTGGAACGCCCTCCCATCAGATGTCAAAGAGATAAACAACTACCTGACATTTAGAAGACATCTGAAGGCAGCCCTGTTCAGGGAAGTTTTAATGTGTGACATTTTAATGTATTTTTAATCTTTTTTGGAAGCCGCCCAGAGTGGCTGGGGAAACCCAGCCAGATGGGCGGGGTACAAATAATAAATTATTATTATTATTATTATTATTCCTTGACATCTAATGGGAGGGCATTCCACAGGGCAGGCGCCGCTACCGAGAGGGCCCTCTGCCGGGTTCCCTGTAACCTCACTTCTCGCAGGGAGGGAACCGCCAGAAGGCCCTCGGACCTGAACCTCAGTGTCTGGGCTGAATGATGGGGTTGGAGATGCTCCTTCAGGTATACTGGGCCGAGACCGTTTAGGGCATTAAAGGTCAGCAATAACACTTTGA